TGAGAAGAAAGTGGGGGGGGGGGGGGGGAATCCCCAAACCATGTATTGCCAAACAACAAATATTTTGAAATCAACATTTTTATGCTCCAAACTGGAATAGGGAGAAGAAGAGTTTCAGACAATGCCATCAATACATAAACATGTTTCAGATAACACAAAAGTGCAGGCAACAAAGAAAAAGCTTTCAATACCTAAGCCCACAACATAATATACATTTTGCTTCTTTGTTTTTCCAGTTTCAAAAGCAGAAAGTGTTGGACACCGACAGTCCTGGAAGCAGTAACAACATTTGCCTACAAAAGTAGGAGTTTGCATCTATTTCTTAGAAGTGATAATGTTTCTAATACAACAAATACCAAAGAAATTAGAAAACTAAAAATAAGAGCAAGCCCTGAAATTATTAATTGAAGAAGTGCCCAAAGTAAATTGGAAAGTAGTCCAAGATTCAATAGTGTTAGAAAAATAAATTATTTTTTTTAAATGCACAAATTAAAAATTGCTATAGATGTCTTCGCAGCAAACATTAAGGAAAATTCAGCTTTAAAATAATTTAGAATTTACAAGAGAAATGTAAAAATCAAATCAAAATACATCAGCTTTCTAGATCAACTTGAGCAAATCTAGGTGGTTCCTTCTAAAATGTCCTGGACAAATGACATTTATGAGGAATGTGTCCCACATAAAAAGATTTCAATAGGAAAGTCGGTGTTGCTATGAGAGCAACTTCCAGATGCTTGACATGTCAGGCCTAGACAAGGGAATGAAAAATGTCTCTTTCTGACCAAAGAGGCTTTGAGGGGATACTCGTAAAGAATTACCTACTTACCCATCAGATTTGAGTTCATGAAAGGTGTCGGGGACAATCCTTCATGGGGCCCTAATCGACTGTCATTCAAGTGATCACTGTAATGAGGACTGTCTGCAAAACCCTAGAGAAAAAAAAGACCAGAGTATTAAACAGATTATTTGGCAGCCCTGCTAATTGAGTGTAATGACACTTTCCTAATTAAATGTGCAGAGTCACAATTGGTCATTAATCACAAAGTTGGCTTTTGGGTCTATCTCACAGACATTACTCCCTACCCACATTTTACTTTCTCCCTTTTTTTGCTTTCTCCCCCATCAAAAAGAAACCCCATAATTTCTTAATAAGCTGTGTCTTCATGGGCAGTATTTCTAAAAATTGAATAATACTGAGATAGTTTGATATTTGAATCCTCTTAGTGTTGTTAATCATAGAGAGTAAAATTAGTCTGAAGAACTTGCAACGGATTTTTTCCCCCTAAGGTTTCTGTTTGCATTAATAAAATAACACAGTAAAAAGGTCATGAAGAGTCACTGACATTAGGAAAAAATGTTAGTGCAAATGAGAAGAAGAAATTCCATTTCCCCTTGCAGCCTGCTATTAATGTTACAGATTAATAGGCATTTTGACACTATCACATTACTAAACAGCATAGCTCACTGACAAAAGGTTTACTTCCAGATAGTGATTAAACAAACAACTTTGTTACCTGATTTGCAAACAAGCATTCAAACTGAAACACTTTTACACTCTTCTAGCATTAGTTTAGCCAACTTAGCAGGCTTGGAGTGACCCTTATGCAGTCAGGAAACACTGCCTTATCAAAAGCTTATGCCAGAGGTAAAGACACAGAAAACACAGAAGCCCAAGGATGTACATATTATTTAACCAACTCAGTAACTTAAAATTTTCTTTTGTACAATGCTTTTCCATATAAAGGCATGAATATGGTACTTGCCATTCAGACTGATAAGATGTGCACCGAATCACTTATTCTGTACCAAAAAATGACAGACCTGGCACTCAAAATTGCACCTCCTTTGTAGCCAAAGTTTAGAAAAACATTTTGTAAACCTTCTCTTACAATTCCCACTTACTCCACTCTGAGTCTGGTAGAGACAAACCTAAAGCTCAAGCCTAATTAAAGGAGGGAAGAAAATTGTTCACAGCTACCAGAAACCATCCCAAACGCCCTGGGACTATAAAATCATCAATCACTGAACATGTATCATTTTTTCAGACCGCAGGCTCACATTCAAGACAACATTAATGGGGCTGAAACAGGCCTCACTACCTTTGCAGGCGTGCTGTCAGTTCCACCAAAGGGCTAGTAACTAAGGGCTAAATAACTGTCAAATCACTACCACTGCTTACGGACGCATGTCACAACTCTTGCTGCTATTCAGCTTTAAAAGTAATCTTCTGGGAGTCCCAACTCCCAAATGAATCTTTGGCTGACTTTATCTACTTCAGAATCGGCGATACACGTGTGATAGGCATTCAGAAACAATCTTAGTGACATTTACAACTTGGTTATGACCACAAGGGTGTCCTCTGGTAACCATGACCTAGCCCTGTCTGTCAGACAAGCAGCATGTAGCAGCAGCTGCCGAGGAAACGGAGTGGCTCCTAGCTAAGGTCACTACATGTGGTTTATTTTTATGCTGAAATGAAACAAAAAAAAAAATTAAATCTGCTGAAGGAAGAAACAAAAATTTGCAAATAGAGGACCAAAAAAACAACGCTTCCTATTTAGCTCTCTGCTTGTACTCATTATTGTGGGGGGTTTTTTTAAACTTTTTTCCCCCCTAAGACAATACTTCAACTATATTTTATTTTTAAAAGAAAGAAACTAGGAAGGACACTATCAGTGATAAAAGAGAATCCGTATCTCAGACATTCAGAAAGTGGTGCCTAGATGAGCCCCAGAAACTGAAATCTTCAAGAGATCTTTGTTTACAAAGTAAATAATAACACTACTGAAAATATAACAGGACTTAGGACTCATTTCACACACAGTTACACATCAAGCAACACACTCTACCTAATGCACAGGATTAATATAGTGCTCCTCCCCATGTTAATATTGCATATTCCCCCCCAAAACAGAGAAATTGCAGAACTGGGTGGGTATTTTACATAGAAAGGAACGCTTTCCCTTCTACCATCAGAATTCCTTTAAATAATCCTTTATATCATGTTCTTTTCATATACCCTCTCAGTTTCCCAGAATGCATTTGTATCCAATTACCACAGCAAAGTTATACTTCTGTACCACTAGACAAATCAACTACTTCATCTACCTGAAAAAAGCTCGAAGTTGTCCTTCACAACACTAATGCCATAGAAGAAAGAACATTTACTATACAAGGAAAAGTGTACTAAGGCATATGCAAGCACTTTAAATAGAATTGTTTTTCCTTCAATTAAATTCCTAACTAAAATTACTTGTGTCAGGCATTTCATTCTTTGTCACGCATTACAGAATTTACACTTGTGCAAAGAGCAACCTCTCTCAGACTTCATCTACAGTGGACCTATGTAAAAAGGTCTTAACATGGCCACCATCCTTGACACCAGTTATTCAGAGTCTTAGTAACGAGTTATGGATTATCAGCTCAAACAGCAGAATTTTGTTTGGGATTAGAAACCCTGGGCTGATTCCCACATAACTCACCCACACTCAGTGAATACAAAATAACCACAAACACATGCAGTTTTGATTTAACAAACTTCTTTTGCACTTCACAAAAGCAAATTAAGCGAAATCAGAAGAACTCTAAGGACAATGATTTAAATTAGAGAGAGTTATTTCAGAGCATTCTTCACATTTAAGATGTACTTCAAATAAAATTACATTCCTGATACCATTCCTTGCTTTTACATCTGTATTGTTAACTTATGTAATAAACAGCATAAAGTTCTACTGGGAAGAGCTGTAATCATAGATGAAGACTTCAGAAGCTTCCAATAGCTTCTGAAAAGCTACTGGAAGCTTCCAGTCACACAATCAGGGCTTAAAAAATAATGTATTTAACAAATACGATTGTGCAAATTCACAACGTATGTTTACTGCTTAAAGAAGAATACAGTTGGGAGCCTTAAAAAGTCGTCTGCAACACCAATAAAGGATAGTGGTTTATTAAAAGGTACATCCCACCTATGTGACTCAGTAACAAGAGAAAACGCCTTCAGATGGCATCTGAACTTACCACTCATGGCAAAAGCAACAGAAGGGGGATATATATAAATTTCTATCAGCGTCCTTTTTCAAATATGCGTTTTAAAGAAGACTCAATAATATGCACTACAAAATTTAATTCTTTCTTTCTGAGAAGGTAAGCAAATTTCAGTTCACAGCAATTTTTAAGACTGCTCTCTGAAAGGGGAGTCAATTGATGGAAGCTAGATTGATACAGGCTACCAGCAGAAACAGGAGCTAATGAGCTATGCCACAAGCTAGGCTCCTTCTTGGGAAGGGCTGTTCGATGATATACATGCTGACCTGACTCTACTGGAACAGGCTGGTGATGTCATTTTCTTTGGACCACACGTGGGCTTCCAAAGCCCTCTGGAGGGTTGCCACCTACTGTTACCTGCAAGGCAAGTTTGACATAGAAAGGCTGGAAGGAGACACTCCATGCTGAGTACACATCCCCATTTCTGCCACCTTTGCTCCTCAGCAAACATAACAATGCATTAGCAGGCAAAGTGCACAGTTTGAGTATTTAGCAAATAATTGGCAAAAAGCCTGCAAAATAGGAGTTACTGGACAAATTTATTTCCCATTCTGAACACCCTATTCTGAAGGGACTGCAGATAGCTCAGGGCATTTTTCTGTTTACAGAAAGAAAACTGGTTTTGAATATGATTAGATACCATAGCTGTAAACTCAAAACCATCTTGTTTGTTCCAACTCTTACGTAGCTACTACAAAAGCAAGCTTTAACCTTCCCCAAGGAAGGCAACATTTTTCTTCTGTATTGTTATAGCCCAAATAAAGTCTAATGGGGGCTAACTGTTCCTTGCAGCATTTTGTAATGTTGTCACCGTTCATTTGGCAACAGGCCACTCCCCAGATTTCAGTCTCACTGCATGTTTATGATCAGAAAAAGTCAAATATGTCTACAAATAAAATCAACAAGTATTGCCTACTAATAATACCTGTCATGAAATGCAGGTAAAAGTCTATTACTAATTAGCACTGTAATTTAACTGAGTAGTGAAGGCTCAGTGAAACTCCCAATTTTATTCATTTTCCAGGTATTTAATTTGATTAGAGTGATGTTCTCTAATCATTCCAATAAATTAAGTCTGTCAATTAAAAAAAAATAAAAATCAACAGCTGCAACGGTCTTCATTCCCACCTCTTCCAGGTAAGAAGCCCCAAGTGTCCAACTGATTTAGGCTTTATCTGTATCAGGAGGATTTTCCATATACAGGTATGCTAACACAGCCAAACCAACTAAAAATCTGAGACTATTTACAAAATCATAAATAGTAGTATACAGGACACCTGAAAATTATCTTACAGTATGTATTATTCTAGAAGACCCAGAAGAGGAAATGGAAAAAGAACAGAAAAAACACACTCCTTACTAGGCACATTTATCCTACCAAACCATAAGGGAAGGCCTGACACAATGAGTCTATAAAAAATAAAATGGTAATTAACCTCCTAAAATTCAACGTCTTTCAACGACCATTAAAGTTCTGGCATTTTGGTTTATGTCGATCACAGAACTCTCCTAAGAACAAGCCGAAAAGCCTCCTCAGCTTACTGTTCCTACCCCTTTTCATTGCGCTGGTTCCAAGGCTTCTGTAGGATTCATCCTTTCCTTCCACTTTAAAAACATAAAACTATTGTCCCTTAGTAATTATTTTCTGAAGTTACACCAGGAATTGTCCATGCATAAGCAAAACTGTACTCCTGACCCTAACTCTAATTGTGGGTTTTTTGGTTTTGTTTTTAAATACACACAACATCCTATCTGTACTTCAGGGTAAAATTTGAAAAATGAAGGACACACTGCATGGCACACGATTTTCCCATGCATTTATTGACTTCACGGAATAACTTCTTCCTGTATGGTTAGCTAATCCTCAGCATTTTACTTGCTCAAG